CTGTGCGAAGTTCAGTAGGGTTGAGAGCTGGGCTAGTGCGAAGAAATGCGAATTGTATAGCATTAATATATAAACGATCGTTATTGCTGAGCTTAAGAGCTTAAGAAAAAAAAAGCAGATTTTACTGGCGCACACGAGAAGACTGTGGAAGCAACGATGCTGGTGGCCTGCCCCAATTCCTTTCATTTACTTTACCTCTTGCTCAGCTTTCTTTCTCCCTTTTCGCTACATCAGTCTATCGGCTCGTTATATATATATATATATATATATATATATATATATATATATATATATATATATATGTATATATATATATATATATATATATATATATATATCAATGCTTTGTTTACGTTTAGCTGACACTTGTGTTCCAAGTTCGGAGAGGCCGTCGGGCCAGGCTGGAAATGAAGTTTAAACACTCTGCCGTTGAAAATAAAATGCTACATGTATCAAGCATGTAATTCACCTAAATTTTCATCCTACGCTCTTGTCTAAACTGTGGGAGGATCGAAGCTGTAACACTGTATACGATGGCACCAAACGTGAACATCAGTTTTCTTTCTTCCTGGAAGGAAAATCAAAGCATATTTCTGCCAGTAATGACCTCACGTTAAAAACTAATGGAATATTATCAATAAATACCTGTTTTATAGACTAATAAAAAATGTTCTGCATCACTTTTTTTTCTTGGCTGCAGCATGATTAGTGTTCCTGCCGTTGCCATGTTTAGAAATACATCAGCGAGACCATTGAGTGAAAAGGTGGATTATCATCAATATTTCCCAATCTAATATAGGCAATGATTATGGTGCATTCACTCTTCTATCGCAAAATCAAGCTCTGAATTCCGACAACATCCGGGGGCGAGAGGAAGCACTACATACTTGAGATGTACACCTAAATAAACAGTGTGGGTTTAAAATTGCTTATAAGTTAAGCATGCTAGCCCTTACATCGTACGCCAAGGACCCCATTTGATAGCTATTTTATTGGTGCACAGGCCTTCAACACATTTATCAATAATGCGGAGATCGTTGCACATTCGACTATCTGTTGCATAAAGCAGTTGTAATGTGCGCAATAACGCTATGAAATTTCCTTTCACATGTCGCAATGAAATCTCGCCAGATGAAGTGTTACATAAATAATTTATCTATTACTATTTGTAATATATCAAGGCGATTGAAATGAGCCAAAAACATAAAGACACAATAGTTCTAGGTGTAGCAAATCTTTTGTTAAACACACGATGCTGCATAATCTGAAGTTGTGAATCTCGTTAAATTAAATGTTGTCAAGTAGTAGTGGAAAAACAATCAGGCAAACGCTGTCCCTTGAAGCAGGCATTGTTTGAAGTACAGTTTACGGAGCTATGCTGAGTACCTTATAAAATCAGACACATGCAATGAGATGCCAGCAAATGAGAGGTTAACACTAAATTACCAAAATTCTACAAAAGCCGCTCCTTCAGCTTACACTGTGCTGTCGGTCCCGAGCATCTGGTGCTATTTTCTCAATGGAACTATACTTAGCTCCTTACGCACATCGACGCAAAGAATAAGCTCTACGAAGAAATAAGAAAGCGAAAGAGCTTCCGCAAAGGATAACGGAACAGTACAATCTCGGAGCGTTTACTATGCAGTTAACAAGCACATTCCTTTCCTGCCCCTTGACTAATGTATTGAACACATTATTGATTATTACTATTTATTTGCAGTTACTGCAATCACCATTTGGGGATTTCAGCAGGGTGGTACATATACTTAGTCGCTGACAAAAACATGACGGTAAAAGTGATGAATAAAAGTAAGCAGAGCTACAGTCAGAACTAAAACCACTTTGGTAGCTTCTGTAAGAGTCGAGTAAGATGTTTTTAGGTGTAGTTCACCCTTCAGCTCCACCTATTTATCGGGCACTAGAAGTAATTGCGTAATCTACGCGAAACTGCGTGCGCATGATGCGTTCAAGTATACAAAAGTATTTCAGGACATATCTTTGCACCATTGAAATCATTTAAATTGTATGAGTTCTGTCATGTTTTTCGATACGTTGTTGCAAAAATGTAGTTTTTCTAATAAAAACTTTGCTGGCAATGTGAAAATTACCTATGTCCAGTACACTCACACCAAGATGCGATTGGTGCACATCGTGCTCAATTTAGAAGGAAAAAAAGAAAACAAGAGGTGGCTTGACGTGACACTCTTCAAGCCCAGTTATAAAAATAAAACTGGGGCATGCTGGGAATATATCAACAGCATGAAGCATGAAGAGGATCAGCGAAGAGGATCAACTTTTTCTCGGGACAAAACAAACCCCGCTTGTGTTATATAAGACTAATAACCTAACAGGGCCAAAAGCAGCGCTCTATCTAAGAGATTAGCAGAATATGTGTACCTATTTGTTCAACAAATTAATCCCAGTGTCCATATACTGGACATGCTTCTCCTGTGAAAATCGTTCTACTAACATCTTTTTTAATTTTTTGCGTGCTTTTCAATAGCCTAGTAGCTAAAAAAACAAGATTAAAAACTTTGTTCTGCCCTACAGAAAGTTTGGGTCGGAAAGTAATATGGCTTAGCCACAAATTAAGTATTGAACCTGATATTATGATTACAATAGATTACCTACGACGAGAAAAAAACTAATGAATGTAATGCAGTTGGTCCTAGCTTCTTCGTATATAAATTATCTATGACTATATCAAAACTGTGAGGAATCGAATTCAACCAAGGCAAGAAAAAAAAGAAGTCCTCAGTCTGAAAAATTGTTCATGGCTGGTCCGGAACCTGTTCGCGTACTCTACACAGGCCGGCTCTTAAACGGCGTGAGTAAGAATGCACTGACAGCGGGTCGCTATTCTTTGGTTCCCGCAATGAGGGGCGGGCGAGAACAGGTTGAAGAGCGAGGCCGCTTCCGTAGGGAACTCGTCAGCGCCGTGGTAGGAGGAGAAAAGAGGGAACGAGGGGGAGGGTTCAACTTCATGCGGCACGTGGTGTACGTTTAACGAACTAGCTCCTCGTGGGCCAGAATCCTGGCCTCGCACGTGGGGACAAGCGGGTCAAAGTAGGGCTTCAGACGGTTTACGTGGGTGATATCACGTCCACGCCGATGATGGTCGCTCGATGGCGTGAGGGGTTCAATGGCGTAGTTCACGGGTGAAGTACGCTCGATCACGCGGTAGGGACCATGATAATTGGAGAGTAGCTTGGGTGATACACCAGGGGCGCAGGGCGGTACATGAAGCCATACAAGTGCTCCAGGAACGAATGTTGGCGCAGAACGATGGTCGTCGTCACGGGTCTCCTTCTGGCGCTGTTGGTCGGATGTAGTAAGCCGCTTGGCTAGCTTGCGGCACTCTTCTGCGTAACGAGCGGTTTCCGAGACAGGCTTGCATTTGGAGAGATCTGGCGAGTATGGCAGTAAAGTGTCGATGGTGTGCGATGGTTGGCGACCGTACAGGAGAAAAAATGGGAAAAACCCGGTAGTGACTCGCGTAGCGGTGTTATACGCGTATGTCACAAATGGGAGTACGAGGTCCGAGTTTGTTTGATCAGAAGCGACATGCGTAGCGAGCATGTCCCCCAGAGTACGATTAAACCGCTCAGTCAAGCCTTTCGTCTGTGGGTGGTAGGCTGTACTCTGCCGGTGTACAACATGGCACTGTTGAAGAAGTGCTTGGATTACATCGGAGAGGAAAACACGCCCTCGGTCACTGAGGAGTTCTCGAGGAGGACCATGACGAAGCACAAAACGATTGAGTATGAAAGTTGCGACGTCTTGTGCTGCAGCTGTGGGGAGAGCAGCAGTTTCAGCGTACCGTGTTCGATGATCCACTGCCACGATAGCCCATCGGTTGCCTGCCGTTGTTAATGGTAGTGGTCCGTAGAGGTCAATTCCTACACGGTCGAATGGGCGGTCTGGGCATGGAAGTGGCTGCAATGAACCTGTTGCAGGATGTGGCGGGCTTTTCCGCCGCTGACATTCGTGGCAGCCGCGAATAAACTGGCGGACGAAGGTAAACATTCCGCGCCAGTAATAAGTTTTTCGTTGGCGCTCGTAGGTCTTGAAAACACCAGCGTGAGCACATTGCGGGTCTGAATGAAACTACGCGCAGATGGTAGAGCGCAGCGTTCGGGGAATGACTTTCTTTCTTATTCTTTCTGTCTTTCTTATTCACTGCAATATATAAATTGTATTTTTTTTTCAGTGCACAGGTCACAAAGTGGCAATAAACAAACAAAAGTTACAAACAAAAACTCATCTGAGGCTAAAACTGCAATGCTGGCCTTCAGGTAAGAGGTGACGAGGGGAGGAAAGAAAGTTCAGACGTCGCACCAGGGGCCGTGTTATACAGCGAGCCGCAGGTTGCCGACCACCATGGGCCTATCTAAGCGGGTGGGGGGGGGGGGGGATTTCAAGCTATCTGCCCCAAACTTGATCGATTTTGCTTGCGTATAGATGAAAAAGTTCGCTGATATATACGTACCTGCAGAAATCCCACAATCGGATTGATTGGCGGATCATGGGAGAGGCCATGGCCCTGCAGTGGGTGTAGTCAGGCTGAGGATGACGGTGACGATGACGAGGATGTATACATGTACACATGCAAACGCTACTGTGAATTAAATGAACCCTGTGTTCACTGAGTTATCTTAATTGCGTATATATTTTTCTGTTACACCCGCTATTACGCTGGCCGTCTTGTTTTGGTTTTATTGCAAAAAGAAAATGTCACTGAGATGAAGCGCAACATACCAGGTGCTCATATTTAGTTGCCCGAACAGGTTTTTCTATATATTAGTGCTAATTATGCAGAGAATAAACTGAATATCCTTTAGTTGTAGCGCGTGTGGATAGCCACAGTGCTTGAAAAAAAAGAAATTAATAAGCAAGGTCCTGCCTCCTACGTCTCAGTGTCTTTCCTGCTTTCATATATCAATGTGTTCGGTCAATTATTCCGAACACGTTACTGATATGCATATACCAATCCCTCACAGGTGCACCTGGTGCTCAGCGCCATCAGCCCCAACGAGAGCGCGCGGCTCTCGGAGATCGCCGGCAACGCCAAACGACGGACCAAGTTGCTCTCCCAGCTGAGAACGTGGGCACTACGCTACGACTTCGACGGCGTCTTCGTCGCCTGGGGCGCGCCACGCGAAGCGAACCGAACGGCGGCGCTCTTCCGGGCGCTCGTCGAGGATCTCAGGCCACGACTGAACATCGGCGCCATTCTGCCAGCGTCGCGGGAGGCGCTCAGTAGCTACGACCTCGAAGAGGTGTTCGCCACTGTGGACTGGGTCATGGCCACCACGCATGGCTTCTATCCGGGAAAACACTGGAACTGGACGTCCTGTTCCAGCCCCTACAAGTGGGTGCCCTGTTCTGGATAGCATTGTTTGCATTTTACTCGGCTGCTTCGGTGATTGTACGGTTAGCCATCTAAACTTGAAGCTTGCGCCATGAAACACCACTGCACCATCGTCCTATAGCTCATAGGGCTGTAAGGACAAGTAAAAAATGCAGCTAGCAATCGCTAAACTAAGCTGTTTTACAACAACATATGGATTTCTGTTTTGAATGCTGCCTGATGAGGGTTGAACAAACGCCAAATAGTAGGGGAAAGGGGAAAAAAACTTGCTGTAAAGGGGAAATAGTAAAGGGGAAAAAAAACTTGCTGTGAAATCACGTCAGGGTACCGACATCTGGCATCGTAAACTCTTGAGCAGCTGATCAAGTATGGTTAATTATTTAGTTATAAATGTGCAATACATGGCATTGTAAAGCTTGATATGCTTCGGACAATATTATTGAAAGCAGGCGCATTAAATACTAACCAACATATAAATTCTACACGTCGTGTCTGTGTACAAACTTTGGCTTTGTTGCATGAAATTGAACACATTTATTTATTTATTTATTTATTTATTTCAACATACTGCAGCCCCCCAATGCTATTGGAGGATTAGGCAAATACATACATCGAAGAGCATAACAAGTGTGCTCTACATCAATGGTTAGTAATATACAATAAATATTCATCCAGTCATAAAGATCGAACGTAACCAGGCAAGGAATTCCACAATTCAATAGAATTAACAAAAAAACTATATTTAAACGCCATCGTACGATGAGCGAAAGTAGACATGTTTACCTCATGGTAATTTCGGGTGGTCGTTGGTCTAGTGTGTGCTATATATTTGCTGAGTAAAGGAAACCGTGGAGAATTAATTAAGGCATAAAGAAACTTCAAACATTCAACGTGTCGACGGGAAGATAGACTGGTAAGCTGTAAGATAGGAAGATGGGAACTTGGTGAAAAATACCTGTCAAAGCGACAGACATGTGCTGGTATTTTGTTTTAAGGTGCGAATATATCAACACAGGACAGTATAATTGTATTAACTTTTTAAATGATAAATTATAAACCTGAACTTTCTGTATATTTAATTGCAAATTTGGTTGAGGGTGATGTACATCGGCCACACAGTTTGAACGAGATATTGATTAGTCTATTTGACTTATGTAGCAATAGAAGCACCCCGTATATAAATGCTTGATTACAATATGTTATGAGGGAGCCGGGTAAATTGAAGTTTCAGGATGTTGGGATAAGATGATTCAGAGAGAATTACAGTTGCTATGCGTGGCGTCACATTGACATACACCGTCACGGGGCTTTCAGGGTGAAGTATAGAATACACCTCTGCCCGCTACTTCTCCTCTTGAAAACCAGCCTATCATTACAAGATTACGAATATTGTGTTGAGGAAATAATTTACAAATGACACCTGTCCCTGTGTTGCTTTAGTGGCATTAGTATGTGCTAGAAGCGGTTCATCTTAAACTTTTCACTTAATAAATACATATTCGGAGTTAGATTAAGATACATAATCTCTTTTGAATTACACCAGGAATCTTAAAGTACGCTAATTTCACCCACGAAACAAAGTGTTCGTTGAACAGATAGCGAATGGTTTCTTTGATTTATTTCGTCATATATTCAGAGAACTGCGGTTCATTAGTTTCTAAATGCGCGCACCAGAACTCGGTGCCTGCATGCGTATTCTACTCCCTTTGATAACCCCGTGGTGTAGAATTTCCGTGACACCTGTGTGGAGCGCTTCTGCACAAGCCAAGGCTGGCATCTTCCAGTATGATATCCATTGTGAGTCAAGCTAATTAATGTGTCACAAAATCCCGGCAAGTGTTATTGCAAAATGCTTCAGCTTTTTTCAAAACATATTATTAATGCAGTTATTAAGTACGAATGCGTAAACCGTAGAGCACTGGATGAGATCAGGGCAATTGTTCAGTTCCAAGCTTTCGTGTTTAAGCGCTACATCTATTATGCAGATTTTTCAACTAGCTCGACTCACTTTCTTCAGTGTTTTGCATTTTGTGGAATGAGCTACAAGATGGAGAATCTTAACCTGTCCTTCCACAGGCATTCCTAACAGCTTAATTGAAAAACATTTTAAATTATTTTGCTAATTATAGATATACATAATGACTAAACGGTAGGTTTTCATTTTGCAACAAGCTAAGTGTTCCTGTAGAAACACTTTGTTATTGGTAATTTAACCGACGTTCACATGCGTGCTGCACGTTTTTTCTGCGTATCATTCCTGCACGGGCAGATGGGACGCTGTGTCAACGTTCGCCTAAGGGGGAACGCTAGCTCTCTGAAAGGAACACCATCCACGCATCTTTCCGTTCATTGCCGGATGTGAGGCTGCGCAGCCGAGCTAAACAAAACCACTTTGGTGAAGAGGCGTGGGGACTAGTGCGCGCGGGAAATCACTGAAGCGTTTGAAATTATAAAGATTGGCAGATCCCACGTACAGTGGGAGTCGATGATATGCGAAGCACGAATGAGGAAGGTTGACATGTCCCTTTAAAATCAGCACAATGTTACGATGTGGAGGTAGATGATGCCGTACCTGACTGACGCATCATGATTATCATGTTTGCATGTGTCGTTTACCTTCGTCATCTACTCACGTCACGTGATACCAAATTTAGTATATGTGGAGCCAGCGAAACGGCCACGAGCACGCTATGAGCGTGGTATGTTGTCAGTTTCTTAAATGACACGCTTGTAAGCATTACCATGTTTGCACCAATCATATACTTTTTGATATACATAACGTCACGTAACGCCAAATTTGGTATATGTGGAGCTAGCAAAACGGCCGCGAGCACTTCATGAAGGACCCAATAAACTCCAGTGTAGCTTTGACGCGCATGCTGGGCACAGCGACGCTACGTTAGCAAAACGCGAGCTCTTTATAGTCTGACGCCAGGCGCGACCAGCGTCCGTCGGTACGGCCTGACGGCAACCGGCGCGAAATGTGACATGCTGCGTTTCGTGCCAATGCCTCACCGAGACAACACTGAGTCTCCCTCTTTTCGTGACGGAGGGATGCCGGACGCGCTGAAACGCACATGCGTCAAAGCAGCGCAGCGCGGACCGGTGCCTGGCGTGGCAACGCCGCCGTGACGCGACGAAATGAACACCGGTGAGAACGAGCACCGCGTCACGTCGAAATTTATTGGCACCTTGTCTGTGGTATGTAGTCAAGTTCTCACATCAGACGCATCGCATAATTATCATGTTTGCACCAGTCACTTACCTCGATCATCTATTGACGTCCCGTAATACAAAATTTGGCATATGTGAAACTAACGAAACGGCCGCGAGCGCATCATGGGCGTAGCATGTGAAGATGTTACATGACAGGCATCTCCTGTTTATAATATTTGCACCAGTATCATGCCTTCGACATCCATTCACGTCCCGTAGTACCAAATCTGGTATAAGTGAGGCTAGCGAAACGGCCGCCAGCGCATCATGACCATGGCATGTAGTCATGTTGTTACATGACACGCATGTCTTGATTATCATGTTTGCACCAGTCACATACCTTCGTCATTCATTCACGTACCGTTGTTACAAATCTCGGATATGTGACCCTAGCGAAACGGCCCGAGCGCATCATGAGCATGACATGTAGTAATGTTGTTACATGACAAGCATGTCATGATTTTCATGTCAGGGTCGGTCGCTTGTGTTCGTCATGCAATCATATCATACCATACCAGTCCTGCAACATGCCATGTTTACGAAACTACCGCAAGATCTGCAGAACCATGAAATGTAAATCATGACATTCATGACATACATGTCATAATTTTCATGTTATGACTATAGTCAAATATGTTCTTCATACAGCCATGTTATGCTATGCCAAGTTTGGTATCGATACCCTTATCTAAACAGCCAGGAGAGCGAAAAGTCGTAGGCGGCTGGACAGACAGACAGACAGACAGACAGACAGACAGACAGACAGACAGACAGACAGACAGACAGACAGACAGACAGACAGACAGACAGACAGACAGACAGACAGACAGATAGATAGATAGATAGATAGATAGATAGATAGATAGATAGATAGATAGATAGATAGATAGATAGATAGATAGATAGATAGATAGATAGATAGATAGATAGATAGATAGATAGATAGATAGATAGATAGATAGATAGATAGATAGATAGATAGATAGATAGATACGCTCAAAGTCCCTGAAGTTCACTAAGAAATGCTTCGCACTTAAAACAAAAAAAAAACAAATGCTTCAGCCAACCTTCCATCGCTCTCACACATGCTGAGATTTTATATCTATAGAGGATACGCGATACATGCTTGGTGGGGTTGTCAATATTTTTTATGTCTTCCTCTGCCGTATTAGTATAAATAACACGTGTATTTCATTAAACTTTAAGCTCTTAGACAGCGCTTGTGTCGTGGACTTTTTTCTGTCTTCGTGTTCTTTTTTTTTGTGCGCTGATCGTGATGAGTACATATATGTTTCAACTAGCCCAATTTGCTACTTTACTGCACGTTTTTAGCACACAAGAGCGGAAATACGTTTTTTCCACCCAGAAAGGACACTGAATACGCTAAAATTTTTATCCCGATACTTTAAAGCTTCTCGGCTAAACAATTTTCAAATATTTGCGCCAACACTCAGTGTACGAAAATCATCACCGCATTTTGTTCCGCTACTTCTCGACTTGAGCACTGCGTTTTAAACTAGAACGTATATTGTACCTTGCAGTGTCACACCGGGGATCGGTTCAATGCCACGGCGGCTGCATTTTCAAGGAGGCAGAATGCAATAGTGGCCTTGTACTTAGGCTAAGGAAGGGGTTATAGAAAATCACAGGTGGTCAGGAATTGACCGGACTTTCTTTACGGCATGTCCCATGACCTTATCTCGGTTTCGGCACTTGGAACATTTCAAATGATTACTATCATTAACTCCGCTTATTGCTCGCCTGTTGCAGGGACGGTAACCACGAATCCATCCAGCAGGTCCTACGCTACTACTGGAACAGGCTGAACGACCAGATAGACCCGAGCAAGTTCTGCTTCACGATTTCTCCGGCGGCCGTCGGCTACAAGGTGCCACAGGAGGGACTCTCGCTCGGCATGCCTGCCAAGGGCCCGGGAAACATCCACGGCGAGTCACGCGACGGCGGCATGCTACGCTACAGCCAGGTGTGCCGCGACGAAGCGCAGGCGGCCAAGGACCTCTCCGGACTGTGCCTCTACGCTCGCTACGGCGGGACGTGGGTGGCGTTCGAGAACGCTAAGTCAACCAGCGCCAGGGTGAAGAGCATCATGCGCTGGCTGTCCGAGGTCAGGCACGTTGCCAACAAGAGCGCTGCCTATTGCATGGCCGTGTGGGACCTGGACCTCGATGACCATCTGGCCCAGTGTGGTGGACAACCGTACCCGATAGTCGAAGCAGCGATACGAGAACTACCATGATGTGTAAATGTCTATGAACGATTATAAAACTAGCAACCTACTACCCAATATGTGATGAACTGCGAGGCTTCGCGACGGTTTTATTGTGTTTAGGCAATTATTGCGGTTCTAGCATGTCTGATGTCATTGTTATTTCATTCTTCGTTTCGGGCACAGGTCACTATGGTTATTCATGAAGCATGAAAATAGAACCCTTTTCTTGAACGTGTTTCGCGAAATCTGCTGCTCAAATCTGCAATTGTCTCGTGTGCTAGGAGTGTATATGTCAGGTGCGAATTCAGGGCAAAGAAATTGATCTTTGTATAATATCATTTTATTGTAATCAGAAACGCATCAGTTGGTCAAGCACCTGCTGAAGCTTCTGGCGGACACTTCCCAAGTCGTTAGATTTCATCGAAGTATACCTGAGTTCCTCTTACTTTGCTACGAAATGTTGATCAAGCTCTTACCGGCTTTCGCGAAAAATCGTGACGCCTGTCTTGCTTACCCTTGTAATATCACGGTTAGGATCTGCAGACATGGCCATGCCCCGTAATAGCTCAGCTTTTAGGAGCGTAGCTCCTTAAGGCGTGGGCTGTGCGTCCCCTGTATGTAGCCACCTCTCGTTCAGTTCTAAGTATTACGCTAGCCACCCCCGATCTAAAGGGTACAGCCATATCCATCCGTCCATCCGTCCGTCCGTCCGTCCGTCCATCCATCCATCCATCCATTCATCCATCCATCCATCCATCCATCCATCCATCCATCCATCCATCCATCCATCCGTCCATCCGTCCGTCCGTCCGTCTGTCCGTTCATCCATCCGTCCGTCCGTCCGTCCGTCCGTCCAAAAGATGCAAGATGTTATAAACTAGACGGCGGTACGTGTAGTTGATCATGAAAGATGCGAGGTGTTATAAAATAGGAATGATGCCACGTATGGCGCGTGTCATCGTTCGATATAGTGCGGCGACGTACGCTAGGGGGAGCGTTGCAATAAAATCGAGTGGGCAAAATGTACGGAGGATTCATGGTTTACCAGGTTTACCTCCGGAGCTTCGCCTACTCATCATCATTCTCTTCGTGGATATGGCGGCATTTTTTTTCAACGAACATGGCCGCATTTACTGCGCGAAGACAAAAAAAAACCTTCAACAAAAATGTAACGCATGCATTATGTGTACCACACACTGTGTGCGAGACGCTGAGCCTTTATCTCAAATAACTGCCCATTATCTCAGGACACCATGACTGAGTGATTACACAATGGCATTTGTGTGTCCAGAATAGCATTATGGCAGAGCGAGCATTTGTCTTATGAAAGCATGCAAGATCAAGGCATTTGTGACGTTCCAACTCTAGAGAAACGGTGCACGTACCGTGGAATTGTCAGAAACAGCAGATTGTGACCTGCAGCGCACCGCTGCTTGCGGCGCCCCAGGTGGGCCGTCACGTGGGACACGGCCGTGACAAGTTTTCCGCAGTAGTTCCTATGATTGCTCAACATATTTTTTTTCTAACCACGTTCAAACATGACATTTTTTGTTTTTAAGCCAGTATACAAAATATCTACACGAGGAACTCGCGGGTCTTTATGCAGTCTCTCCTTGACTGAAACCAGCAACGGGTATAGATATAGTCATGGAGTACGTGACAGCAAAGTATTTTTTCTTAGTGCGCCAACATAGCCAATACTAAGAAAGACCAAAATAATCAATAATCTATCCTTCTGATTGCACTGTAACGTAAGTGGCCGTTCCGAAAGTAGGAAACCATAAACATGAATATTGTCTGTATTGTTCATCGCTCTGCCGCCTTGTTTTCTTCCAGGTGATCGACTCCCCATTATTTCAATGACAACTAAAACTCAGTCACCATTCCGAACTGCCAAACCATGTACGACCTTAAAACAAATGATTTTTTAGAACTCCCTTCTATTTTCAGGTTACTTTTTTCAAGTTACTTGTCAATTACTGAATGAAGCCCCGAAATCCATGAATTTAATTTCTTCGCTCTTACAAGTTAGAGCCTCGGCGTGCTTTTCAGGTATTCTACAGAAGCAGGGGACATTATTAATTTTCAGCAGCTGAAACTCTTCATCGTGAGCCTAACTTTCAATAACCGTGTGTTGCCCGACGTACTTCGGCCACCGTGGTCGTTAATCGAAGCCACGTTTCCGACCTTGGCCGAGCAATTACTTTGCTAGGCTAACTAAGAGGTGCATGAATTTATTACTGTTGATCTTGTGGCTTTGCTCTGGCAAGTAAGGCAGTCATCACTTTGTTATCGGGTTTTCAAAAACAAATATGGGATGAAAGCAGATTTGAGTAAAATGCTTTGTACAGCAGAGCTGTTAAATTACTGCTAAATGTTACCCTCTTGTGGATCATCTTTATGATGATACGCCAGAGGCGGATTATCATGAAGCGTCTGTACATGAGCGTGTGAAGCGCAAACCCTTAAAAGAACTGCAACAGAAGGTCACCAGTCACCATTTTGTAACTGGCATCTGTTTTAATCTTGATGCCCGACATAAAAACTTACTGTTTTATTTTCTTCCTTCTCAGCTGCGAGGACAGCATGACTCACGACGCATGGCCAGTGTACAAACAAGATGAAACGAGCACCCGATAACCCGAGACGGAATTCTTACTGACTGTGGGGAAAAACGGTGAAGATTGCCGCTAATAGTACCCGGCACGTGCCATGGGCCCACCGTTGCGGACGAAATTGCGGGCTCCCACACAAAGGCCCCCGTTCGCAGGGTGGAAAAGGACACCACCCGGTATTACTCCTAATCCCTGCCACCGGCCCGTTGTTAGGAAAACTCCGCTTGGCGCAGAGCGCGCGGTGGGATTAGGCTGGCCCGGGCAACCTCGAAGAGAGGCCGCCGACACGGTCCGTGGATGCGGAAGCCAGCTACCGCTCTTTGTATCTCGATGCCTTAATGATCTTTTGATACCGTGGTATTAGACGCGCGGCACTAGTCGCGCACGCGGTGCTTCGTACCAGCGTGGGAGACGGGCGTGTCAGGAAAATTACTGGAAATCAAAGATGACGCATCCGCAGAGACTGAAACGAAGGCCTCAGCGACCGCCTCCTGTCTCTCGTTTGAACCATGTTTCGCATTCATGCTATAGAGAAAACGGCCTTTAGAAGAGTGAGACGTTGTGACAAGTTTTGGAGGGGCTTTTAAATATGCGCTGGTAGAACCGCTGCCTGGGATTGCCTGGTTTCTGGAAGAAGAAGTTTCTCGCAGTCTCCTCAAATTTGGTACAATCGTCCGTGTCACACCGAAAGGGCCCGTATCGTTATACCAACCTGTGCGTGGTCTATATACGATCTGGAAGGTATACACCACTGAAGGCCACCCTGCGGTGATACTTGAAACCTTAGGTGGATGGGGCCATGATTTGATTAATTTTATTTATTTATTTATTTATTTATTTATTTATTTATTTATTTATTTATTTATTTATTCAATACTGTAGGCCTTTTCAGGCCTACACAGGAGAGAGAATACAAAGCTAATAAGATTTCATATTTCGGAGATGAAAAAAAAAGAAAATATGCAACAGAAAGCAGCCAAAACAACATTATAACAGCATAAACGCAATAAACTAACAGTGCGTATGTGCTTCACTGGAAAAGAACTAGTTATCATAACATCAAACGGTGACATAATTAATACACAGGTGTAGGCCGTTAAGCACGGGTAGCAATGTGCAAGTACATGCGCGATACATTGTTTCTACCTTTATTTTGTGCACAGATACCACAGAATCTATTGCAATACCTCTAAATGAATTTCCAGCAGCGATGAAAATGATTCAAGTGATTGAGCACTGACTACGTCATTCGGCAAGTCATTCCACATCTCTGTAACTGCGGGAAAAAAAAGAATACTTCAACGTGTTACAGCATGACAGGAATGGGCGAATGCATTTGTCGTTGTTAGTTCTACTGTCGATGGTTCGCAGCTCTTAGGTAATCCTCCTTACTTAAGATTACCAGGTTGCTTGAAAGTAGAAAGGGAAACTTCAGACTAATTGTCATCGGCAAGCAATAGTTGCGACAAGTGCTTGAAAACGCAGTGCGAAAACACTCTCCTGCATGCCTCGCATACTTGGAAAAAATAAATCCAAGAGTCCTGTTTTGAATTTTCTCTAATGCATCAGTCATGTTCTTTTGGTGCGGGTTCGAAGCTATTGCTGCGTATTCTAGTTGTGTCCAAAAGAAGATACAGCTCGCTGGCCGTCGTCCAAATAGAATAAACACAACACCATGTAACCTACATAAAAACAATAAGTGACGTAAACCGTGTTTCCACTACTCGTATTTCAAAAATGAATTCATTGTTTGCCAGTGTTATATACACTGCAGGATTAAGGTCCTTTTAACTGTAGCCACCGTGTTGCAACTCCTACACAGCGTCACTGTTTAAAGGAAAATGGGTCGCTATAGTATCTATAGAAGCTGCATCGCATCGTGCTTCAGCCAACATTACAATAATAGGTATATAAATTTAGCATCCATCTTCTCGCTCCGTGAAGCCTGCAGTATATTCAACGCGCGATGCACTCCAAGAAACTCAGCAAAAGTTCCGTGATATAGCTTCGCCACCTTGGCCCTCTTAGACTCACCATTTCAAGTTTTATCACGAAGTTCACAAAGAGTCATCTTTTATCAAAAACAAAAGCAAAAACAACAAACAAGGTCACAATCACAATAATAAACGAAGGCACGATGATTGGGCTGATCCCCACGGCGGCTTAACGACCTTAGCGCGAAAGTAACTTCTAAAAAATATTCCAGAAAACTGTATGGGTGACGCAGCTTGTTTGTTCTGCGTTTTAATTGGTGGCGTACAAAGCGGTAATCTTTCTTTAGTTTTAAATTACTATTGCTCGAGGGAAGCTCTTGTGAAAACAAAGCCATTCAACGACGCAGACTAAGCATTCATTTGACGCATGAATGTACAAAACTAAGCCCGCAGTGCAGTGCGATCTGTAAAAACATTT